TGCTAAAGAATTAAAAATCCTATTACAATAAGTAATCTAATATACACTTTATATTTTTTTAATATAGTAGATTATATATAAATATTTCTAGTAGAGTGTAGTGACTTAGTGAAGTTTGTAAATTATTGCATCCCCAAGTAATAGGACAAGAGTTCAAATTTCACTAGCAATGAAATTCAAATTTACAGATTGTGTTATAACAGACTGTATAATATATTAATCAGATCAGCATCTATAATCTTAATTATATTAGCTTGTACTGAAAAGTTGTAGAACAATAATGTGACATATAAGTTATACAAATTCTGAGTAAAACAGCCAAATTAATCTAAGAGATCAGAGGATATAGAAGGCTGTTTGGTAAGTTCTGAGTAGAGAGATAACACAAATCTTTAATGATATTACATATAGGATTATTATCTAAAAAACTAAATACTGAAAGCAAACTAAATAAAGACCAAATATTTGGCAAAAGCATTATACCAACCAGGCTGCTAAACACAACTGGAGGAAAAAAATTTCATTCAGAATATCAAATAACACCTACTAGTTCCTTTTGAGTCATCTAAATTAAAAGTTTGGTGTATTGATAATTAGCATTGAAGTACTGTTAATAGTTTATAAAATGAGGTGAACTTTGCAAGAACAAGGAGTAAGTAACAGTAGTGAAGGTAAAATACTACAAGTACTTGGTTACAATTTAGGCATAAGTTACTAAAAAATCTAGATAATATATATATGAAATATAAACTGCTCTAGTAGATTTATTTTAAGGATAAAGAACTCTATATAAAAGTGTGTGTCTACTTTAAAGTCCTAAAGGCTTTTATAACAATTCCTCTTCAAAGAAAATATCTGATAATACTAAATTGATTAGAGAGTTAAATAGATAAACTACAAATAGATCTCAGATATGGCAAGTGGTAAATAACTATAGGTAGTAATATATATAGTAAAGCCTTTAAATAGACAATAACTAAATTTGTATATATAGCCAACTATACTTATGTTAATATAACAAAGTTGGAATGGCTTATATGACTGCTCTGATATTTGAATTAAAATTAATAAAATGTGGCAAACCTCTAAGTGATCACCTTAATATAAAAAATATAAAAAATAAATGCTTCTAAAAACAACTATATCATATTAAATATAAAAATTATATTGAAAATAGATTATACTAAAAATTGTGATCTTTTTTATAAAACTTGCTAAAATTCATATAAACTTTTTTTTATTAATAAATACTACTTTTAACCCTAACCTAACTATGAAAAAGACCACAAAAAAAGGCTTTAAAAAATTTTATAATTTTATAAAATATGAAAAATTTTTAGCATAATCCATTTTTAACATAATTTCTTATATTAACTATATATATAAATTAAGGGTTCTTCTAGGCATCTCTAGCTAGAGATGCCTAACAATAATATTTCGGGCTTAATAGGTAATTAAAATGCAAATAAATCACATGTTGCCATTTTCGTGTAGCACAATGGTAACACAAAGAACGATCATCACAGATTAGTTTGACAAAACAAAAACAACAACAAAAGAGCAAAAAAAGTGAAAAAAGTCAAAAATACACAAAAACTTACATCTAAACCTATTCTGGTATACTAATTAAAAATGTCGGGAAGACAATTTTACATATAAAACTTGCCTTCGCTCTAACCTTGTGCAACCCTAACTTTAGTTAATATCATATGATCAAATGTAGTTTTACGCTGGAGATCTAAATATCTCTAGCTAGAGATGCCTAGAATTTTCCATAAATTAAAACTAACCTATATCTGATTGTATTTTTGTATATAATTGTTAGTTAATAAATAATACTGACAAGATTACTAAAAAAATATTTGTATAATACTGTATATAATATTATATAAAACCCTCTAGCAAAAGAAAAATAAGCAAAACATAATATATATAAATTAAAACCTTAATTTTAAATTATTTTTTATTATACTAAAACTTATTTAGAGATAACAAAACAATATTTTAAAATAATTTTATATTGCTTAAAAAATTTTATTTTAAACAAATATCAAGTAACTAGATTATTATAATCTTATTTTAACTATTCCAATTCTTCAAGATATTGATTTTTTTTAAAAAATTCTTATCCGTTTATAGAAGTGAAAATTTATAAGATAAAAAATAAAAATATAGTAAGCTCATCTATGGCCAGTTTAACTATATATTTGCTACTTAGCCATATTGTTGTGTTAATAGTGTTATAACTCGCTTGTTAGTTAATAAAAATTTTCCATAAAATTCATTATATTGAATTTTATTAGTAAATTCACTATATTGAGAATTTTATATACTAGCTTTGAGCTTAACTTCACTATATCGAGAGTTTACTATAACGAAAGTGAGTTGTATAATTGCTGTGGCTATATAGAAAGGTTAATTACGATTGCCGTTTATGTGATTAAATGAAGCAAGACAATAAAGAGCGTTATTATAAAATCATGATTTGACGATGAAATTCCATGAATTTTATCTTGGTCAAAAGCACCGAAACCAATGTGAACGTGCATTTTCTAATCTAATTTTGTTTAAATCTAACATTTTGTTTATTAAAGTAGTAAAGAATATTTAAATTATAAATGACAATGTATTAATGTGTATAGAAAAAAATTGTATTTTGCATTATGCCAGAAATAGGCACATCTTATCTAGTAATCGTCTACTCATCATCAACGTATACAGCTTCATGATCCTCATAATGATCCTCATAATAATCAACCCCCTCTCCAGTTTCTGCAACACCAGTTGACGAATCCTCAGAAAGATCTGTTATACTTGGCTCTTCAACGAAATTTACTGTATTCTCGTTAGTTAAATAATCATCATAATTATCATAATGCATATGACATTCAAAGTCCCAAGTACTTATCCATTTGGCCTTCTCACAATCTGTTTTTGTCCATGGACCACCATAAATTAGTGGTGAAAATAATGTAAATATATACACAGTAGCAACTAAAAATATTATTGCGGTAATTAACCGATTTCTAAAAGACATTTTGCATGTGAATAAATCAAATACTATGCCAATTAAAAGAATTGCGAAATACAATGAAGGGAAATAATGATGTAAAAACAATTGTCGAGCCATTAAGAAAAATGGAATATAATGCAAACACCATCCTACAAAGAACAATCCAGACCATGATTCAAACTGCTCTTTTTTACCTAAAAATCATAATAATAACTAAATTAATCATTTATATAAATGATATAAAATTGTGATGAATGTGGGTACATTCAGACCTCCTAATGCAGCACACAAGCCTCTCTAAATGCAGCATCAACTCTAGCCCACATATATGCTTGACTTCATAAATCAGCTTTTCTCAGTGTCCTCTGAATAAACGCTGTCAAACTTTGGTCCTATAAGTTGTATTTAGAGAGGTTTTGACTGTATTATGATGAACTATGTAATATTCCGTAATTCAGTGAATTCAGTGACTAGAATAAAGCTATTTATATCATTCAATTCGTCTTTGAGGTGGATTAAATGATATAAATTTCTTTATTTTAACTGGCTACAAAATATCACGCAATTTGTCACAATGCACCCACTCATCTCTACGTTATCATGATAATCTCACCATCCAGACTATCTTTGTATCCTCTTTTTTCTCTCAAAATTATGATCAACTTAGCAACAACAAAAATAAGTAATGCAAGAGTAGAAGTCCACCACACAAGTGGATTACCGAGTAAATAAATTTGACGATTATTTTGAACCCAAAAATTAATTCCTCGGCTTAAAAACATCCAAGACAAAGGGCGAGATTCGTAAGGGTGAGAATCAGTCAATCCACTATTGGTAGTCCACATAACTTTATTAAGTTCAAAGAATTTTTTAAAAAATCCAGGTTTCCGATAATTGATTTTCTCTGCATTATCCGGTACTAATAAAAAAAAATTAATGAATTTTAAGAGTACTTCATCGAGTACGTTGCAATCAATTAAAGTAATCACATACGTTTCGGATGAGAATTTGATTCTATATACCAGATAGTATTTGGATAGTATCCTCCTTTAACGCAGGTGACTTCTTGTTGCTCAAAACCCCAATCAGGTAGTTTAACCTTATGAGAATAAAGATAGCATCCGGTAATAACATGATAAAGGCGAAATTTTGTATGAAGCGTACGAACACGTTCGCGAGATTCTGAGTCAGATTTATCGTAATCAGTGATTTCCACACGCCAAAAATCATTTGCATCTCCTGGGAAACCATCATATCCATAAGCACTAAAAAAAGACAATATTTTCATAAATAATTTTCAATTATATTCTTGAAATACAAAGATTTTATACCTGACTTCATTTTGATATTCTGCTTCAGTTACTGGTGGTCTAACATCGTGACTATGCATCCTTTTTTTAGTTATAACATGATTGAGACGAATCACTGAATTATGATGTATCCAAATTGGGTCGGTCTCGTTAAACGGTACTTCAGGATCCGTTTGATTTTGGACAAGCCATAAATTATTATCATCCTTATGTGGATACAAAGTAATTTGTTGTTCTGCATGCATATTGAACCCTTAATTAGTGGAGTCTTCAATCATCATTTTGAAGTATAGATTATACTCACGTTTGCTTCCTCCCGGATAATTATGCAAATGTGAATGTAGATAGCCACCTTGCGTATTTTCATGCCTAATAGAAATTGTAGATCCGAATGCAACATCTATAATAAAATTATATATATATTAGGAAAAATAATATAAACTTTAGAAATGTGTAATTATATTTAATATTATTAACCAAGAGGCATGTCCGCCATTAAATGTCCTCCCAATGTCTGCTGGAACTCGGAACTCATAAATCCATCACCCGCCCCACTGTTGGGCAATATTGCAAAATGAATTACAAAGAAAAACATGTACAAAGATATAGGAATAACAATCAAACACAATGCTCGAGCGAGAAAGTGTTTGAAAAATAATACCTAATGAGAAATACAAATTATTAAAATTAAAATTATGAAAATTGTTGAAATATGAACAAAACAAATCAAGGTATAATTTTACATACTAGAGTGACATTTATGTCACCTAATAATCTCCATAGTCCACTAATAGTTGAAAGGCCAATAAAGGCAATTGTGAAAAGACCCACCCATTTAACACTGATAATTTTAAATAAAAATAATTTACAAAGTTTTATCAGCATTATTAGTAACTTTTAGAATACAAAGCAAAGTGACAGAACATACCTAACTGTAAGCCCAAGACCCACACCGGTCATCGCCAACCAAACCCACCACCATAATTCAAATGGACTATTTTTATAAATCATAAAATTAATCTTAACAAGATAGAATTTAGAGGTTTAATAACGACAGTCGTTAAAAATAAGTACCTTTTTTCTTGATTTTGAAATTTGACCCACATTAATACAGTAAAGGCCGTGAAAGCTACCAATGGTGAATCCAGTAATATAAGTCTACTTTGAGTTACCAAACCATTCTCTTAGAGAAAAGAAAAACTATTAGCAACCAGACTAGTACATAAAGAGTTTCTAATGAGTATTGCTTAAGCTCACCAAATAATACTAAATTTGCGACCAAAAATGCGGCAATCGTTGAAAATCCCGCTAATTTAATGGTTAGATAAGCAATTGGTATTACTAAAACTCCCAGAATTCCTGGTAATAAACGCATGATCACGTACGGAACTTTAGGTCCAAGATAGTCGCTATTATTTAAAAGAGATTTAAAAGAGATTTAAAATGATATAAATGAGCGATGTTAAAGGAAAACCAGACTTTGGGCTTTCAAGTTTACTAATGATTATTTACCAGATCCAGTCCTGATAGTGACATATATTAAATTTACTTATGTATCATATATGTCACTGATCGGGCTGAGTCTAGTAAATAATAAATAATAAACTTGAAAGCCTGAAGGCAGGTTTTCCTTTGGCGTCACCCAAATAAAATCAAATGGAAATATTAAAAACTTACTCGCCAATTTCTTTAAATTCGAAATTTCCATCAAAACCACCCAAGACACCAGCAAAAGTGATGAGCAATTTCGCTAACGGTGGATGTACATCCATAAAGAAACTACCCTTAATATATTTTCTAAAGTTCAATTATTAAATAACAAAAATAATTAGCTATATGAGATTTTGAAAATTTTTATAATGAACAAATATCAACATGTCAACATTGAATTCTTACGCTGCAAAACCGCCAAAATGAACTTCATCAAATCTAATATATAAAAATTTGATTAGATTTGATATTTGAAATCAATGGAATGAAAATCAAATTGTAATGACATTGACTTACACTACGGAAGTAGGATACCATATTTGATATAACCTTACAAAGAGAGCAATTATTGTAAGTCCAATGAGATTATACGAGTCTGTAGTATACATTTTCATCAGGGATCTGTAGGATCTCTTTTCTTTTAAGTTTTCGTCGAAGCCATATATCTGAGGGGAAGTAAAATCTTTGTATCTTGCTTTACGATTTCTTATGTCACTCGCCCCCACGGGCATTAAGTATTGCTCTGCAAACATTAAAAAAAAAAAAAAAAAAACAAAACCTTAAATAAATAACTTTAAATGTTATTTGAGGTAGCATGACGATACTTTTAAAATTGAGGAATGTACCTTGGTAGAGCGATGTCATGTTAAGGTTAAAGATATTAAGTCGAGAACACTAAAATTTCGTGAAGTTTATATAAAATAAGTTTATAAAATGATAGGCGTTATGTAGATCAGACAGGAAATTTCAAGTTTCCTTTTGTACGTGTAGAAAATTTTCCGACAACAGATCCTGCGAATTCGATTATGCCACGTTAAAAATTGTACGTTAATTTGTGTAACCTTTGGCATCGCTAACATCTATTTGCTACGTATGTACGTACGTACGTACGTATTTTGTTATCTATCGTAGGAAACAATTTATATGATTGGTTATCATTGTCAATTTTGTTTGATTCTAAATCAAAATATATAACGATAATATAAATTTGTTCGAGTTTATAAAAGGTAATAACATCTTTGTCCAAAACCTATTTGTCATGTTCCTGTTATAATATTTCCATAAATGCAATTCATGGCCATGATCCAGAAGATTGAAAAAGACTCCATAATATTTATGTTTGAAATCCTTATTAAACCCGTAATTATCTCATATTATTATAATAAAATAATATTTAAATATTTTAACTAGATCAAATTTAGCCAATTTTAAATATAACAATTTTTTTAAAAAAATTTTTTCAACTCTAATTCCATTTTGATTATAATAACACTACTGAACTCGCAATTCACAACTACTTAAATACTCATAAGCATGTTTTTCGTGCATAGATAAAGAAATGAGCATCCAAAATCTCGAGGCCATAATCCCGACGTGACGATTACAGCTGTTTTCAAAAAGATGTGGAAAACGATTTCCATATACCCATATGGGGAATCAGAGAATTTGAAAATTCCAATTAGTAAAAATTAAGGGTCTTGAAAACTTTGGAAATCTTGGAAATCTTTGCGAATTTCCCGTAATATGATGATCTGACCATTCCACATTTTTTTGAAACAGCTATAATATTTAAAGATTAGTGATCACATTAACAATTATTGTCAGACTTTAAATTTTAATTGTCACAGCGCGTGATGTCAGTATTATGGTCTGTCGAGATTTTGGATGTCGAGATTTTGTGGTAGAAACATTTTTATAAATAGCGATAGTTCAGTAATATATATTGGAGTGTAAAGATATCGTTAAAGTATCTTTATGTGTTAAATTTAGCATTAGTAGTGCCATTGTTTCGGATTAAGATTATACAGCACTTGTATTCATTGCGGAAATTTTACGTTTTTGCGATAGCGATAAAATATTCTAGATCTGTGATTTACTATGAAAATTTCCTCTTAGCTGACCTATATTATATAGCTGTTTTCAAAAAGATGTGGAACGTGCAGATCATCATATTACGGGAAATTCGCAAAGATTTCCAAGATTTCCAAAGTTTCAAGACCCGCTCCAATCGGTTCTTTGATTTTTACTAATTGGAATTTCCAAATTCTCTGATTCCCCATATGGGTATATGGAAATCGGTTTCCACATCTTTTTGAAAACAGCTGTAATAATTTACATTAGATCTAGAATATTTTATATTTGCAAAAATGTAAGATTTCCATAATGGACATTAATACGTATGTACAATGTAATTCTAATCCAATCTCATTACAGCTATTTGCAAAAAAGACGTGGAACGGCAATTTTTATGATGTATATGTTGTGCCTCAGATCGATTCTTGCCTCAGGTGATAACTGAGGCACCTCAGATGTCGATCGTCATATGAGATG